CCCAAGTAGCTGGGACTACAGGCGCCCACCACAGCGCCGGCCATTTTTTGGTTGCAGCCATCATTGTTGTTTGGCAGGCCCGGGCTGGGGATTCGAACCCGCCACCTTAGGTGTATGTGGCTGGCGCCTTAGCCAATTGAGCCACAGGCGCCGAGCCGAGCCAGGGTTTCTTATTGTGAACTTTATACTGTGAATTTTTTCACTGTGAGCATGTGTTACTTTTAAAATAGTAAAAAAGAAGTTGTAAAGCATAAGGACAATAGCAAACGTGATTAAAGAGCCAAGCCCCAACAATTAGGAGTTCTTTGCCCTATGCCTGTCAGCAGCCACTTTCCTAAATCAGTTCATTGCTGAAGTTGAACTTAAAAATCTTGAACATAAAGAGCAGTTTCCTGAGTATCTTTGCCTAGGGGGAGCAATAGTATTCTTTCCTTAGTCCTTGCCTTACATAACACCCCTAACAACTTCTAATATACCGTCTTTTGCCTCTTCTATTATCTACCCCTAGACAAATGTTTATGGGTCAGCCCAGAGACGAAAAATGAGACCATTTGAAGGCTTCCAGCGCAAAGCTATTGTAATTTGTCCCACTGATGAAGACCTGAAAGACCGAACAATAAAGCGAACTGACGAGGAAGGGAAGGATGTCCCTGATCATGCGGTCTTAGAAATGAAAGGTAGGAAACAAGTGGTTCCCAGAGGAGCATCACAACAGGATCCTTCAGAGAAAGGCTCTTTACTCTCAGTTTGTCCTTTCTTGGCTCCCTTGTAATTCCTTTCTTGCTCTTGCGCTTTCTTTTCTTCCTTTTTTTTTCTTGCTCTTTCCTTTCTCTGCCTCTGTTCTGCCCCTTCCCTGTCTGCCACAACTGTGAATGCAAAAACTATCTGTCTCTCTTATGTTGGGATTTTGGGACTGGATGGGGCTGGGGTAACATGAGGGATAGGATATGTGTTGCCAGAAGCTGAAATTCCTGTATAGTGGGCTGATACTGGGCAAGCCTCCATTCGCTCTTATGTTAAAATAGGGATGGGATTCCTCCTGCCTGACCCATTCTCTGAGATGAGGCTGAAGGGAACTAAACACTTTTGGTTTAGCCACCTCTTTAGAAGAGAAGAGAAGCTCTTTGTTAGCCTCTTTTTTATTCACTACTCCAGTTTCTCTCCCTTTTCCCTTCTGGGAGGCCAGTGATTTGAGGGAAGGTACCCAGACCTCAAAAAGAACTGTAATATAACCAACCACGGCCGGGTGTGGTGGCTCATGCCTGTAATCCTAGCACTCTGGGAGGCCAAGGCAGGTGGATTGCTTGAGCTCAGTAGTTAGAGACCAGCCTGAGCAAAAGCAAGACCCTGTCGCTACTAAAAATAGAAATACTGAGGCAAGAGGATCAGTTGAGCCCAAGTTGGAGGTTGCTGTGAGCTATGATGCCATGACACTCTACCCAGGGCAACAGCTTGAGACTCTGTCAAAGAAAAAAAAAGAACTGTACCCTCTCCTTGTTCCTTCCCATGGCACTTCCTCCTTCTAGCCAACTTCACCTTGCCAGATGTTGGGGACTTCCTGGATGAGGTTCTCTTCATTGAGCTGCAGCGGGAAGAAGCAGACAAGCTGGTGAGGCAATACAATGAGGAAGGCCGCAAGGCTGGGCCACCCCCTGAGAAGCGCTTTGACAACAGAGGTGGTGGCTTCCGGGGCCGTGGGGGTGGTGGTGGCTTTCAGCGCTACGACAACCGAGGCCCCCCTGGAGGCAACCGAGGAGGCTTCCAGAACCGAGGAGGAGGCAGTGGTGGAGGAGGCAACTACCGAGGAGGTGAGACGTCACATACACAGGTCTCATCATGATTTGGTCCCAGACCAGGGTTGAGCTTTGACTCTTTATTTGGCCAGCAGCTTGAGGTGCTTTGAGCACCAACTGTGAATTGAACTCTGGTTAAGAACCATGACGAGGCTCATCTTAGTACTCTGGGAGGCCAAGGAGGGTGGATTACTTGAGCCAGGAATTTGAGACCAGCCTAAGCAAGAGTGACACGCTGTCTCTACAGAAAAAAAAGAAAAAGAAAAAGTAGCTGGGCATCATTGCGAGTGTCTGTAGTCTAGCTACTCTGGAGGCTGAGGCAAGACAATGGCTTAAGTCTAGGAATTTCAGGTTGCTGTGAACTGTGACGCCATAGCACTCTGCCCAGAGTAACAGAGTGCGACTCTGTCTCAAAAAAACAAAACAGAAAAGAACCAAGACTAGTTAGACTGGAGATTGCAGGGGAACTCACTCCCACTGATCTACTTCCCTGGGCATTGCTTATGAAGCCCTTTTCCCATTTGCATGTCTTAGTTCTCTTTGTCACATGGCTGTCATTTTTGTGAATCTTCCACCACTTGACCATGAGCTCCTTGGGAATAGGGGCCGGATCAATTTTAGTGCCAATTCTGGGTCCCTCCTAAGGACCTGGCACAAGGCAAATGTTAGGACTATATTTTGGATTTTGGTTTTAAAACAAATAGACAATAGTTAGACTGGTGGATTTGCCCAGGATCATCCAACTAAATCCAGAGCTGGTATTCAAATGACACCAAGCCAGATTTCTTAGTCACTTGCTGACAAAGGGTTGCCATCTTTGAAGTAAAGCATCTTTTTGTAATTTAATAAGTAAGTCTGGGCCCTGCTCTGTTTGGTCTTGTGCTAGATGATTCTGGGGACACAGCCATGACCCAAATAGCTTAATGGGAAGGCCCAGGGATGCTGTGACCTTAGTTGACTTCAGTCCAGACTACAGGTTGACAGCAGGGCTCAGGAAAGGCCTCTTGTGTGGCACCTGTACTCAAGGAGTAGGGCGCCAGCCCCATACACTGGAGGTGGTGGGTTCAAACCCAGCCCATGCCAAAAATTGCAAAAAAATAAAAAGGAAAGGCCTTTTGAGGTGTGTTTGTCTGAGCTAACGTCCACAGATCCATTAAGAATTCCCACAGATGGCTCTGCACCTGTGGCTCAAGTGGCTAAGGCACCAGCCACATACACCTAAAGGTGGCAGGTTCAAATCCAGCCTGGGCCCGCCAAACAACAATGATGGCTGCAACCAATAAAAATAGCCAGGCGTTGTGGCAGGCGCCTGTGGTCCCAGCTACTTGGGAGGCAGAGGCAGGAGACTCTTGAGCCCAGGAGTTGGAGGTTGCTGTGAGTTGTGATGCCACAGCACTCTACCTAGGGGGACAGCTTGAGGCTCTGTCTTGGAAAAAAAGAGTTCCCACAGAAAGAGGGAAGGTATTCTAGGCCCAAGAAATAGCCACATAAAGGGTTAGGAGATGCTGGTTCATGTGGGCAAGCCTGAAGAGCATCATTTCCTGAATATTTCTTTCTGTTTGGTCAACAGCTGTTGAGATACTGGAACACAGTAGAACAGTAGAAAGGAAGACTGCTCTGGGGGTTTTTTCTTTCTTTCTTTCTTTTTTTTTTTTTTTTTTGAGACAGTCTCACTATGTTACCCTGGGTAGAGTGCAATGGTGTCATAGCTCACAGCAACCTTAAACTCTTGGGCTTAAGCAATTTTCTTGCCTCAGCCTCCCAAGTAGCTGGGACTACAGGTGCCCGCCATACCTAGTTACTTTTTGGTTGTAGTTGTCGTTGTTTAGCAGGCCTGGGCTGGATTCGAACCTGCCAGCTCTGGTGTATGTGCCTGGCACCCTAGCCGCTGAGCTACAGGCACCAAGCGCCTGGTCTTTTCCTTATGAGACTCACAGTCCGGTAGATGAGACAAACCTATTGCCAGGCAGTGAGGACCCAGTGTTACTGGGGTTGGGATAGGGATTCTATCCCTATCTGAGGAATCCCTGGGGACATCCTTTATTTACCTTAACTGGGTTTCTGCTCTGTGCCTGGCCATGTGGGAGCCACAACAGCCAAGACAGCCCAGCTCCCAAGGATTGCAAGTTAATGATTAGGACTTCGATCTGGATTTCTCCTATGTAGGTTTCAACCGCAGTGGAGGAGGTGGCTATAGCCAGAACCGCTGGGGTAACAACAACCGGGATAATAACAACTCCAATAACCGAGGCAGCTACAACCGGGCTCCCCAGCAACAGCCGCCACCACAGCAACCGCTGCCACCACAACCACCACCCCAGCAGCCTCCACCACCGCCCAGCTACAGCCCTGCTCGGAACCCCCCAGGGGCCAGCAGCTACAACAAGAACAGCAGCATCCCTGGCTCAAGCGCCAATACCAGCACACCCACCGTCAGCAGTTACAGCCCTCCACAGGTAAGAGAATGAGCATATATATGTGTTTCCCCGAAAATAAGACACTGTCTTATATTTTTTTTTCTCAAGAAGACACACTAGTGCTTATTTTCAGGAGATGTCTTATTTTTATTATGTATAATACAAAAATCTACATTTATTCAAGTATAGTTAAGTCATCTTCTTCTGGAACCTGACAGGGGGAGCCAACCTGTTGGTGAGGCTGGTGCTAGTGATGCGTGAACTCCTTTAACCTAGCTGTTCGCATGTGCACAATAGGATGCCTGCGACCGTGTTTGCCACGCGCGCACCCGTGCAAGTGCAAACGGCTTGGAGAAAGGAGCTATGGCAGATAAAAGGTATTCCAGTCTTCCTTACTGCTCCGCACCTAAATGCATGGCGTGGCTATGCAGCATATCTGCATAGCCACACTCATCACTAGGTCTTATTATTGGAATAGGGCTTATTTTTTAGGTAGGTCTTATTTTCAGGGAAACATGGTAGTTGTGCACATGTGTGCTTTTGAACCTGAGCAGGTGAGATGAATCAGGTCTAGGGAAATGAACACATGTTCCAGCCCCTGGTCTCTACTCCTAGTTCCAGCCTGCCCTTTCTCCCTGGCAGTGCTCTTGACTGGGATGGACCCTAGACATTCCCAGATTCCCTCCAAACTCGGGAGTAAATCCTGGAATTTGCCTCTTCTATCCTTAGAGGGAAGGGGTATAAGCATCAATTCCTCCAAGTACATTTCTCTTAGCTATGTCACTGACCTCACTGAATGCCCAAGAAAGCACTTGATTAGTGTTGCCTATTGCCCAGTTGGGAAACAACTCACCACTTTGTCTTCAGGATGTGAAGCGCAGGGCTGGAAGGTCAGTGAGGACTTGCCCTCTGCAAGAAGAGTTTTGCTCCTGAGTAGCTCTAGGCTCAGTTCCAGTTCTTGGAAAGTCATTGCTATGGTCTTAACCAGAACAGTCTTCATTTATTGCCCAGCCATTTCCTGCACTTTCTACATGGCAGGCCTGGAAGCAGCTTCCAGGAGACAAATGAATAGTTTCCAGTTTTCTAGAACATGAGTTCAGTGGGCAAACAAATCAAACCCATATCTCCAAAATGTCCTGATTTAGTAATGTTGGACAGAGAGCTTCACCTCTCTGGGCCCTGTTTTCCCCATGAAGTACTACAGCAGGCGTCCTCAAACTGCAGCCCGCCTAGGACATTTATCCAGCCTGCTGGGTGTTTTTGCCACTGCTGCCTGTCCTGCTTAGGAACCGACTCGTCCTGGGCCCGCAGTCTGGCCCTCCAACGGTCTGAGGGACAGTGAACTGGCCCCTGTTTAAAAAGTTTGAGGACCCCTGTACTAGAGGTATTAGAACTTTTAAAGTTTATGAAAAAGGATGGCCGGCACTGTAGTTTTGTCATTCAAGGCTCTGAGGAATAGGCAGACTAGGGGTCAAGTATTTTTAGTTGTGTGAAATTTCACCTTCTTGTGCATCAGCTTTCTTCTCTGTAAGGCTAATTAGCAGTTTACCCCCACAGCTGATGTGGCGATGAAATGAGTTAATGACACAGCCTCTCTATGGGGCCCACTTAGTAAATTACCACTACTCTTCTCAGCAGGTCTTCTAGTAGCACCAGTCATCATTTATTGAGTGCCCAGTGGTTAGTACACAGAAGCTTATTGAAAATGCAAGGCAATCTGAAAAGGTAGTTCTATAGTGATTCTCACTTTATAGAGAAGATACTTGGATTTGAAGAGATAACATATGCCTGCTCTCCCAGGATTCCAGGGCTGCGATTAGAGTCCAGAACACAGTCCCGAGGCTTGCCTTTTGTCCTGTTCCGTTCAGCCATATCACAGACCTGACCCATCTCCTTTTCAGCCCTCAAAATTCTAGAAGAGAAGTGTCTCAGAGCACTATTATAAAGGCCCTTCTCTCCCAACCTTGGTCTGGTTGTTTCACAGAGCTTTGGGTTTTTTTCTTCTACTTCTCAGCCGAGTTACAGCCAGCCACCCTACAACCAAGGAGGTTACAGCCAGGGCTACACAGCCCCACCACCACCACCTCCGCCACCACCTGCCTACAATTATGGGAGCTACGGCGGCTACAACCCAGCCCCTTACACCCCACCACCGCCCCCCACTGCACAGACCTATCCTCAGCCCAACTATAACCAGTATCAGCAGGTAGGTACCAGATGTGGGGCCAGTGGGATGGAGCGACTTTCAGGGGCCCCTCCTAGGTGTATATTTCCAGACTCCACTCCCTGCTTATCCCCAGAAAGATGTGTAGTCTGCTGGCCTCAGGCCTACATTTATCTTGCCATCAGCCATGTTATTTGGTAAATACTTCTATAGTGATTGCTGAATAACAGGTATCCTAGCCTGACTCCACAGTGCAGCAAGCAGAGGGGAAGGAATATCAGGGACCTCCAAATCTCGCTTCAGGGGTGGTGCTCAGACTTCCATAACTGCTATTAAATATTTTGAGTATAATATCTAGCTATACCTGGAAGTGCGCTAGGTTGACAAATCAGGAGACTGGGCTTCAGTCCCTAACTCCCTACCTGTGTGGCATCAGCTCAGTCACTTGTCCTCCTGTGCCTTGAATTTTCTATTGGGACCCATCTCTGCTGGGAAAGGGGCGGGGAACGAGTCACCTGTGGGGTGGATGGAGATCAACTTGGTGATCTTGGTTTCTTTCTCCTCAGTACGCCCAGCAGTGGAACCAGTACTATCAGAACCAGGGCCAGTGGCCACCATACTACGGGAACTACGACTATGGGAGCTACTCCGGGAATACACAGGGTGGCACAAGCACACAGTAACCAGTGTGCCTCAGAGGCTCCCGGAGGCCCCTGCCGGCATCCTCCACCAGCGCCTGCCTTGGCCCCTCCTCTACTCCCACTAGGTCCTGTGGTGCTGGGGATGGGGTCATCCCAGGGCTGCCTCCCTCTAGCCCACTGCCTCCCCTCTGAGGGGCTTCTTTCCCCCACACAGGGCCAGGCATTTTTTTCTCTGGATTCAAACAGGAAACAATGACCTTTTATTTTCTGTTACTCTCCCCTTAACCCTCCAACTTCCCACCCCCTGTTCTTCCTACTTTCTTCCTTTTGACTAAATAATTCCACCCCCTCCTTGGTCATACAGTGAGGCTATGGTGACTGAGGGGAGACCTCTTTCTTATTCACTCATCCCAACCTTGCTCCAGCCCCTCGGCTTCCCAAACCTTCATGCAGTTGGTTGTAAATTCTTCCAGGAGCTGTTTTACTGTCAACTTTTCAGGATTAAAAAAAAAAAGATCAAAAACTTAAAAAAAAAAAGTTTAAAAAGAAATGCGGAGGGAGGAAGCAGTGACATATTTTTTTGGTAATTATGCTTTTTTTTAATTTTTAGAATTTGTCTGTTTTTACTGTGGGTCGGCTGTTGATATTTTTCATCAAGATAACCATTTCTTTGCTGAGTTCAGGTGACCGAGGAAGAGCCACACCCTCAACAAAACAAAACACACACAAAACAAAACCACAGAATCATTAACCTAACTTTTTATACAATGTCTCAGTTCCCCATAACTTTGCACACAAGCTTCTGTGTTCAGTTGAATTGTAACTGCTTTTTGTATTGGAGAGAGTGTGACTATTGAACTTGAAACCTTTTATTCCAGGCGTCTTGGTAGTTTCTGGTGGGGATTAAGTGGGTGAGAGGGAAGAAGGGGAGGTGGGGGAGGCTACTTCCCTTTAGAACATGAAGTTTCTCCCGCTGCCTCTTCATTGGTCTCCCAGGTGCCGGACCCAAAAGTTTTTCCCTCATTGATCCTCTGATTATTTTTACTTCCCCTTGACCCATATGTTTTAACAGGATTTTAACAAACTGCACTTATTAAGAAATTGTGTTTTTGCCCTGTTTTGTTTTGTTTTCTTTCAATAAATGACATGGCACCTCCTAGCAGGAAGGAAGCAGGGTCAAAACCCTGAAGTGTTACTGCAGTTGGCCTTTAATTGGGGTTGGGGGCCCTTTCAAGGGAAATTATTCATTAACCAAACACTGAGGGATTTGTGTTTCTGGCCCAATTTAGATCCCCCCCCTTAAATCAAGGGCCTCTGGTTTAAAGTCTATTTTTAAAGTGGTTCACAGGTTCCCTACTCACAGTCCAAAATCCCTCCAGAAATTTCTTGATAGAAAGGCTTGGAGGGCCAGGTGCAGTGGCTCAACGCCAGTAATCCCAGCACTCTATGAGGCCAAGGTGGGCAGATCGCCTGAGATCATGAGTTTGAAACCAGCCTGTGGCTCAAGCAGCTAAGGCGCCAGCCACATACACCTAAGATGGCGGGTTTGAATCCCCAGCCCAGGCCCGCCAAACGACGATGGCTGCAACCAAAAAATGGCCAGGCGTTGTGGCGGGTGCCTGTAGTCCCAGCTACTTGGGAGGCTGAGGCAGGAGACTTGCTTGAGCCCAGGAGTTGGAGGTTGCTGTGAGCATGATGCTGTGGCGCTCTACCCAGGGGGATAGCTTGAGGTCCCGTCTCAAAAAAAAAAAAAACCAGCCTGAGCTAGAGCAAGACCCTGCCTCTAAAAGTAACAGGGCATTGTAGCGGTTACCTGTAGTTCCAGCTACTCAGGAGGCTGAGGCAAGAGAATTGCTTGAGCCCAGGAGTCTGAGGTTGCTGTAAGCTATCATGCCACGGCACTCTACCAGGGGTGACAAAGTGAGACTGTCTTTAAAAAAAAAAAAAAGCATGGAGTAGGTACCTAGCTGGAGGGATATGGTGGGACTGATGGGCTAGAGATGTATGCTGATTCATGATAATTAATGAGATGGATTGACTACCTCTGGCCTGGCCTGTGTGCTGTATTAGGATAGTTCCCATCTGTCCTCTGGTGGTCCCAAAGCTAGTAGGGACTCCTGGAGCTTCATTTTTCAGCCAGTATGTGTTAGACACCTGTTATGTTCTTTAACTGTTTCAACAGTGCTGGGGACATAGCATGGCCAAAGTAGTCCTGAAGCTCCTGCTCTAGAGAGAACACAGATTTTGTCATCAGTGCCGCCCCCAGGTGGTAAGCTGTGAGAGCCTGGTCAGCTGTGAGAGCCTGGGGTGTGGGAGGGGAGGGCATCCTAGCGAGAGGAATAGCTAAAAAATGATTGGAGTGAGCCAAGGTAAAGGATTTGGGTTTCACACTGCATCCCCACTGCCCATTGCCCTCCTTCCTTAGTAACTTCATTTATTTATTCATTCCTTTACATGCTATGTCCTGGTACCTTGTGAGGGACAATGTCGGGCTACAGGGGAGGCCAGTTCAGCCCCAGCTCCTCTCACAGGAGTTCAAAGGCAATCAGTCTCATAAGTCTTGAGTGAGGGCTTGGCATCTATAGCTTAGTGGTTAAGGCCCCAGCCACATAGACCTGGGCTAGTGGGTTTGAACCCAGCCTGTGCCTGCTAAACAACAATGACAACTACAATTAAAAAAAAAAAAAAGGCATTATGGTGGGTGCCTGTAGTCCCACCTACTGGGAGGCTGAGGCAAGAGAATCACTTAAGCCCAAGAGTTTGGTTGCTGTGAGCTGTGATGGAATATAACTCAACACCAATGAGACAAAGTGAGACTCTTGGAGCGAGGCATCTGAACACAAGAAAAGGCCAAGGTTGGTGGCTCTAAGGGACCCTAGAGTGCTGCCCAGAAGGCAGGCCAAGACATCCTAAGGGCCGCTAGTGTGGGAAGTCCCAGTCCCTGTAGGTTCATGTGCTGGACGACACCACCCTCTGCTGGCCCCTTCTGGTAACCAACAAAGTGTAGTCTGCCCACACCTATCTGGTATGGCAAATAGGGACCTCTTGGGCTTTCTTCCACATCTATGGATCAGTTGAGAAAAGTAAGGGAAGTTCTTTCTCTGCTCTCTACCACAGTCTCTGGATTATTACACCAGCCTACCCATAAATCTTTTCTCTCCAGTCCCTTGATCCCCTTGCATACTTCCGGTATAAGGAGGTTAAGCTACTTAATGTGGGTTATGAAGCCCTGCATGGCCTAGCCTAGCACCTGGGGACCTCACCGGCTCCACCTTTATGCTGCCTTTTTGTATATATTTTTTCTTTCTTTTTTTTTTTGCAGTTTTTGGCTGGGGCTAGGTTTGAACCCACCACCTCCAGCATATGGGGCCAGTGTCTTACTCATTTGAGCCACAGGCGCTGTCCCTTTTTTTCTCTTTTTTTAAAATTGAGACACAGTTTGTGGCCCTGTATAGAGTGCTATAGCGTCATAACTCACAGTGACCTCAAACTCAGGCTCAAGCGATTCACTTCCCTCAGCCTCCCAAAAAGCTAGGACTGCAGGTGCCTGCCACAACACCCAACTATTTTTTTGTTTGTTTAGCAAGCCCGGGCTGGGTTCGAACCCACCAGCCCTGGTACATGTGGCCGGCATCCTAACCACTGAGTTACTCAGCCTCTGCTGCCTTTTGAATATTGGATGGTTCTTTTGTTCTGGAGGCAGAGTTGCAAATCCTTTTTGGAACCTATAAATACCATGAGCCTCTGTCATAGAGGATACAAGTATATATGGAACTTTTGCATAAGGATTCATAATAATCTCAAATCTCAATCCAAACATGGCCTTCAAGACTAAGACTACTTTCCTAAGCCCTGACCATACAGAAGTTAAACATGAGGCCCTTCCTATTGTATAGGGCAAATCAGGACTACAGCTGCCTGCTTTCACATCTGCAGATTTCTTCCAGGTCCTGACAACACAAAATGGGAAGTTCTATCTCTGGTCTCATCACCCATCTCATTGCCAGCCAAGTACAAAGTATGCTGACAGAAGTAAGAGTCAAAGCTTAGTAAATGGCTCGGAGCCTGTGGCTCAAGTGGCTAAGGCGCCAGCCACATACACCTAAGGTGGCGGGTTCAAATCCAGCCCAGGCCCGCCAAACAATAATGACGGCTGCAACCAAAAAATAGCCGGGCGTTGGGCAGCGCCTGTGGCTTAAAGGAGTAGGGCGCCGGCCCCATATGCCAGAGGTGGCGGGTTCAAACCCAGTCCTGGCCATAAACTGCAAAAAAGAAAACTAGCCGGGCGTTGTGGCGGGCACCTGTAGTCCCAGCTACTTGGGAGGCTGAGGCAGAAGACTCGCTTGAGCCCAGGAGTTGGAGGTTGCTGTAGGCTGTGATGCCATTGCACTCTACCCAGAGGGACAGCTTGAGGCTCTGTCTCAAAAAAAAAACAAAAACTTAGTTAATTAACCCCTGAGGTGGTGGAGAAATGAAAAGGGTAGGCTGGGGACTTAAGAGTATAACAGGGCCAGGCACTGAAAGGAGGTCGTTCAAACATCTCAAAATAAGCACTGCCGGAGTCACAGCAGTGAACAAACGAACACTGGTTCGGGACCCTTGTGATTTTCCAACTCCAGGTAGCAAAGACCAAAAGACCTCCCTCACCCAGCGCCCTTTTCCTTCCCGGCTATGGAGGGCGGGGCCCGGAAAAGGCACGCATGCGTATGGGAAGGTCTTTCTTCCGGCCGGAACTTTGGTTCCTGGGCGCAGTGGGCACCCGGCTCCGGTAACATATTCGGCCGGAAGTGGCTTTGGAGTGCGTAGGGTCGAGGTTGGCGTCCGGGGTCTTCCACGGCAGTTGAGAAGTCGAAGAGCATCAGGATGAAGGCCGTAGCGGCCGCGGCGGCAGCAAAAGAACCTGATGAGGGTGAGATCCTGGCCACGCGGAGGCGGCGGGAGGGTGTGGCTGCGGTGTCACTAGGAAATGTTTCCCCGGGAACGCAAAGGAGGACTGTTTATAAGGGTACACTTCTGGTCCGCCTTACCTTTCCGCTCTGTCACTTTGTGTAGATTGTCGCCTTTCTTGTCGCAAACTGACTTCCTTTCTCACCATTCCTTCCCCTGAAGTTAATCTCATCCCAGTACCAGGCTTACCAAGCCATGTTCTTACCAAGCTTTCAAGTTAACGTAAACCTCTGTCCCCTACGCTGGGCTAATTCTCCCACCTTCTCAGACCACTTTTTTATTTTTTTTTTTCAGTTTTTGGCCGGGGCTGGGTTTGAACCCACCACCTCCGGCATATGGGACTGGCGCCCTACCCTTTTGAGCCACAGACGCCACCCTCAGACCAATGTTTGCACTTCCCTTGGGCCTGAGCCTTCCCTTGCCCAAAGCTAACCCTCGTCCTGTCCCGTGCTAACTGCACAGCCCGCACAATTCATTCTCACTTCCCTTCCCCCATTCTGCCTCCTCAAAGTCTTTACTCCAGTTATGTCTCTCCTATCTCTCTTCTTTGCATTTTCAATCTCTTTTATTTCTCCTGATGCCTTCCCATCAGTATCTACAATGCTTTTGTTTTGCTCATTTTAAAATTCCGTACTGCTTCGAAGTAATCCTATGTGTGTGTGTGTGGGGGGGGGTGGTTGGAAAGTTTATGGAAACGCTGACGGCCAAGAATGATCATTGTAGAAGCCAGATTACGGGTATGTGGAGGTCAGGGGAGGGTGTTGTACGTTCTGCTTTTGTGGATGTATGAAATTCTCCGTAAGAAAGAAAAATTATAATAAAAAATTCTATCCCTTAGCCCCATGCTGCCTACCATTCACCATGTGTCTTCTCCAGAGATTCATGTATACATGTCTCCATTTCCTCATCTCCCATCCACTGAACTCTGGCTTTTAGGCTCAGAAACCGTTCTGATTAAATTTCCCAGTAACTACCTCCTTCCCCCCTCCATGTAGTTAAATGCCCATTCAAGTTTTTTCTTACTATCATAGACTAGAATTCAATGCCATCAACCCCCTTCATCCTTCTTAGAGGGTTTCCCTTTGCTTCTCACCACACTTCCTGATTTCCTTCCTGTCTCTCAAGCTGCTCCTTCTCAGTCCCTAGATTAGTTTCCAAGGGCAGCTTTAGCAAAGTACCACAAACTGGTACTGGGTGGCTTAAAACAACAGAAATTTACTTTCTCGCTGTTTTGGAGGCCATAAGTCTGAAATCAGTATTACTGGGCTGAAATCCAGGTGTCAGCAGGGTCATATTCCTCCACAGGCTCTCAGGCTTGTTACTTGCGTCTTCCAGCCAGTGGTGGCCTCTGGAATTTCTTGGCTTGTGGCCACATTACTCCAGTCTCTGCTTCCATCTTCACATTGCCCTGTCTGTGCCATATAGGACACTTGTGATTGCATTTAGGGCCCATCCTGGTTAATCTACGATACTCTCCATCTTAAGATCTTTGATTTCATCATATCTGTGAAGATCCTTTCTCCCCTTCACCCCTATTTAAGGTAAAGTCACAGATTCGAGGCATTAGGATGTGGCTATCTTTTAGCTATCAGTTTTTAGCTTCAAAGGCATGTCCTCTTCCCATCTATTCAGTGCTTTTTCCTGGCCCCTCTCTTCTTCTCATCCCTCCCCCACCTCTCATTTCCCTAAACTTTAGTTCTTGTCTTGGACTCTGATGACACCAACTCTTGTCTCCAGCCCAGCACTTCTCACCTAAGGAGTCTAGAGGCCCATGCTTCAGCAGTTGGATCATTCCCCCCCTCCCCCAGCCTTCAGCCCCATGGCTTGTCCACTTGGCCTCCTGAGCATCTTCCTAACCACTTTCCTACCCTTCCATCCCCTCCTCTCTGCCCTTGTCCAGATCAGTCTTCTCTCACCTTAGCATCAGTGCAATCCTCTTTGAAACCCCCTACACCTATAACTGCCGCCCCCACTCCCCTCCCCTTCCCAGCTAAGCTACCTAAAGGTGTTGTCTCTACTTTCTGTCTTCACTTATTTCCTGCTTGCTTCAGGCTTGCTTCAGTTTCCACCATTCACGGGAAACAGCTCTTACCAAGGTTTGACAGGCACTCAGCTTTCCTGTTATCTTTACCCGTATTATCTTCACTTTTGACTGTCTCCCACATCAGACTGGGTGCTCCCTGAGATCAGAAGCTGAACTGGATTCCTTCCATGGATCCTCAAGGTTCCCTGACTTAGGGCCTCACATAGATTTAGGGTTGCTGAAGAGGAGTTGGCTGAATGTATGAATGCATAAGAGAGAGTGAATGAATGAGTGAACAAGTTAGTGAATGTATTAATGATTTTGTGAACAAGTGAAAAGCAAAGGAATTAAGTGGAACAATTAAGTCAGGCTTTAGGGCCTTTGCATTAGTTATTCCTTCTACTTAGAACTCTTCCCCAAGAAAGGTGGTGACTCAGTTCCTCAAAACCTCAGGTCTTTACTCAAATGTTACTTTTTAGACAAAGCTTTCTCTGACCCTTCCATTTACAGTTGCAGCCTCCCCCCATTCCCTCCTCTTTACCTGTTTGTCTTCCTGTATAACTCTGGGAAACACTTAACACATTATATATTTTCGGTAATTATGTTGATAATTCTCTGTGTCCTCCACTAAAATGTCAACTTTTTGCATACTGTGTATCTGTAGGACCCAGAACAGTGCCCAGAATGTAGTAGCTGCTCAGTAAATATGGACTGGGTAACTGAGCACCCAGTCCCTTTCTACCCAAGCCTTTCCATTCCCCACCCCTCACAGGCTGTACGGAGCCCAGACCTGGGCACTGGGGGGAGCTGAGCTGGACACCAGTCTCATCTAGACCCCAGGACAAGGTAGAAGCAGCTGAGGGAGTACCAGGGACCCTGGACAACAATGACCCCAGGGCTGAAAATGCAGCAGTGAGTGCCATGCTGCACGCTGTGGCCGCCAGCCGCCTGCCTGTGTGCAGCCAGCAACAGGGTGAGCCTGATCTGACGGAACGGGAGAAGGTAGCCATCCTGGGCCAGCTGTACCATGAGAAGCCATTGGTGTTCCTGGAGCGCTTCCGCACAGGCCTCCGAGAGGAGCACCTGGCCTGCTTTGGCCACCTACGTGGCGACCATCGTGCAGACTTCTACTGTGCCGAGGTGGCCCGGCAGGGTACTGCCCGGCCCCGAACACTGCGTACCCGACTGCGTAACCGGCGCTATGCTGCCCTTCGAGAGCTGATCCAAGGTATTGGGGGTAGATAGGCAAGGGCAGACACAGATGGGGAGGAGGGGAACCTGAGCCAGAGTGGGGCATGCAAGGGAGACTGAGGTAGAGAGAGCAGGAAACAAAATTCAAGAACTAACTCAGAGATTCTGGGAGATACATTTTGAGAACAAGGAGCCAGTGGCACAGAGAGAAACTGAGTCAGAAATTGTGAAGTAAGGGAGAGGTGGATAGAGGTAGACAGGGGCTCATGGGAAGAGAATGGGACTGACAGGCTCATGCCTGTAATCCTAGCACTCTGGGAAGCTGAGGCAGGTGGATTGCCTGAGCTCAGGAGTTTGAGATCAGCCTGAGTCAAAGTGAGACTCCGTCTCTAAAAATAGCCAGGCATTGTGGTAGCTGTAGTAGCTGTAGTCCCAGTTACTTGGGAGGCTGAGGCAAGACAATCACTTGAGCCCACAAGTTTGAGGTTGCTGTGACCTGTAGTGCCACAGCACTCTATCAAGGGTGACAAAATGAGACTGTCTAAAAAAAAAAGAATGAGACTGACAATGAGAAGGGATCAGAATTTAGTAGCTGACAGAAGTGGCATTTCAGATCAGTGGGGCTAGGACATAGTACCCAGTTCTGTGATACTTGGTTATTCCTAAAGAACACCGCATCCCTACCTCACACCAAATGCAAAGGCATTGGAGAAGACCAAGGGAAGTTTAAGACCCTGGGGACACAGAGTCCTTGAACAAAACACACAGAAAACATTGATACCATTTTGACGGCAACAGAATTAAAAGTTTCTCTGTGACCAAAGATAGCAGAACCAAAGTTAAAAGATGAGAGCAAATGAAACAAAGTAAATTGAGATCTAACTAGGGAGAGCATACAATAGAGAGGTTGATGCACAAAGAGTAAGACACAGGGATGTATTGGGGAAAGGGAGAGAATGGAGAAAGGAGAGAGAATGAATGAATGAATGAGGTACATTAGGTGCAGAAACAGAGAAAGGATAGAGAGATGGGGGTAAAACAGGAGAGGAAGAGAAACTGAGGACCCAGAAAGAGAGAAGGTAACAATCTGAGCCAGGGAGAAGGAAGGACCCTCAAAATAGCTGGGGTAAAAGAGCTAGCAGAACTGGGGAAGCCAAGCAGGACAAGGATTGTCATAGCCCAGGGTGCTGCAGAGGCCAGGAGTCTGGCTGGCTTCTTGGCTCTGAGCTCTAAATCTAGGGCTGATTCAGAGGTGAGAGGCAGGATAGGTCTGACTTATCTGAGGGATAGAGCCACTCCTGCAGGAATAGGCAGCCAGGGTAGATGTGAAGAACCGAGGCTTCAGGGTAGGGGGGAAGCCAGGGGATGGCTGCAGAGAGGAGCATTCCAGAGAGGTCAGATCTGGAGTCTTCTACCACCAAGAAGACCCTGCTTTCTCTGGGGACACCAACATTAGCAGATGCCTCACCTTACCTCCAAGCACACATGCCAGACCCACACAGGTGTGTTCACAGACATGCCCAACAGTACAGGTTTGTCCAGGCATTTCCATGGGTGGCCAGACGAGGGCACACACAACTTGCAAATGCACACCCTGCCTGCATGGTCCTGCATGCTGACTCCCAGACACACAGGTACCTCTGTGTGTGCACTGTGCACCCAGGGGAAGGTATGTGTGTACATGTGACTGTGTGCATAACCAAGGGCAAAAGTGTGTGGACCCTGCCCAGACATAGTTGTACTCCTGACCACCAACCAGTGCCTCAGATGCAGGATGTAGCTGGGTCTGCCCGTGCATACACGCTTGGACACACAAATACACAGGTAAAGGTCCAGTCATGTGCGCACACACACTTGGACTTGTGTGTATTTGTCTTACCCACAAGCATGATACACACAGATCTGCCCAAATGTGTTCATCCCATGACCACCAAGACTCTCCTCTGTGCAGGGGGTGAGTACTTCAGTGACGAGCAGATGCGGTTCCGGGCCCCACTGCTGTACGAGCAGTACATTGGGCAGTACCTCACCCAGGACGAGCTCAGTGCCAGGGCCCCAACCCACCAGCTCCCCAAGCCCAGCAGCCCTGGCAGACCTGCCTGCCCGCTCTCTGACCTACTGCTCCAGTCCTACCAGGAGAGAGAGCTGCAGCAACGGCTGCTCCAGCAGCAGGAGGAGGAGGAGGCCTGCTTAGAGGAAGAGGAAGAAGAGGAAAACAGTGATGAGGAAGGTGAGGGCCAGTAGCAGGGAGATCCCACTGTCCAGACACCCCAGGCCTGTCTGTCTCTTATGACACTGGGCCGGGCTCCCAACCTACAAAAGCAGACATCCTGTCCCTCTCCCGCCTCATCCAACCCTCTACCCTGCAAGCCCTTCCAGCCTCTACAGCATTCCTGTCTCAGTCCTTAAAGGTGCCAAGTGACCCCTCACCTCCAGACCTTTGCTCTTCCCCTTCTCTCTGCTGGGAATGCCTTTCTTCCTACCCTGCAGCTCTCAGATCCTGACCCTGGTCCACAGTCTCCAGAGTACTGTATTGTCAACATGTATTTAATAGGTGCCAGTGGAGGGCAGGACCAGGGCTGTCCCAGTCTTTGCCATATTCCAAGTACCACCTACACAGGGCAGGGCACAGAAGCAGCAGCTTCCTATGAACTCTTATGTGTGTTCAGTGCCTGCCAAGTGCACCTTCACTCACACCACCCCTGCGGTATCTCTCACTGCAGTCCAGGGGTCAGGCAAAGACTCAGAGGCCTGGGTTCCTGACTCGGAGGAGAGGCTTATCTTGCGGGAGGAGTTCACCAGCCGGATGCACCAGCGCTTCCTGGACGGCAAGGATGGAGACTTCGACTACAGGTGCTTCTGTGCCCCACGTTCCCATGCCCTAGCCCAGCACTCCACAGCCTTTGCCTATATGCTAGATCCCGTGCCCATCTGTGGAGGGCCTCCCTTTGTGGCATTAGAAGGCCCTGGAACAGTTCCAGGTGATGGGGCTTGGGGTCACACAGCTAAAGGAAGAAGCTGGGTGACCTTGGACTAGCCTTGTCTGTGTTAGAGCCTCGGTCACCTCATCTATAAAGAGGGGACTAAACAGCAATGACGTGTGGCTCAGTACTGATGAAAGGAAACACTGAAACATTTCTGTTCTGCCAAGTGGTAGACACCTGATATGCTGCCATCACCCAGGTGTCCTAAGAAAAGGGTATAGGGAGTAACCCCTGGCAGGGTCAATGGCCAATGTGGGGGCCTGTGGTTGATAACCCAGCCAGGTGCCAGTTGTTCATTTCTCCAGTATAACCCAAGGGGTGAGACACATGGGCCACTTCCCTTGCTTTGGAAAAGGATTTGGCCATCAGGGAAAAGGATACAGGAGAGTAATGTATCAGAGTCAGAGATAAATGATTTTGTCATCTCAGGCAGTCTGACCTTGTGGTCCCAAACACTGCCTGGCAGCAGAGAATCCTCTTTGATTTCACATCAGTCCCAAAAACACATGAACTGTGTGACAGCAAATAGGTACCCCTCAGTGGGCTTATCAGTAAAATGGAGATCACAATGGCCAGTGTCATGGAGCCCAGCCCACAGTCAGCACCTCCTGACTGCAGCATTGAGGGTCCGTTCTGGGATAGTTCTTGAGTCAAATCTGGATGATCTGCTTCCAGCCAGAACAGGGCAGCTAAGAGCCTCAGTTCCCCCACACAGTGGTGAGATGGGTGGCTGGGCCATGGGGAGCCCTTAGCAAGTGGGCACCACTGCCGCTTCTAACCCAGGGGCTCACAAGGAAGTCTGTGGTCGTAGAGACCAAAGCCTGTCCCCTCAAGAGGGTAACTGTGGGACAGCAGTGGCCCCATCGTGTCCCTTATTGGTGCATTTAGTCATCATGTACAGAGTGTCTACTGTGTCTGGGCTCTGGGGAACAAAGCAGGAAACCAAACCCAGGAAAGGCTTTCCCATCCAGAAAGGATCCCACACTAATGAGAAAGATAAAAAGAATTTTTCTACTGTCAGGTGGTGGGGAGGCCATGAAGAAAAATAAAGCAGGGTATGGAGAGAGAGAGGAATGACAAGGTAGCCATGGAAGGCCTTTCTGAGGACGTGACAGGTGAGAAAAGGCCTGCAGGAAGTGGACAGAAGAGCATTCCAGCCAGGCAGTAGCAGATTGGCGAATCCTAAGGTGGCCCTAAGCAACAGCAAAGTGGCCGGGATAGTTGGAGCAATCACTGAGGGCCTGGTAGAGCAGGATGAGTTTTCATCCTCAAACTAGTGACCTTACTGTTGACCTTCTGGGCTGTGTGGTTCTTTGATGTAGGCAGCTGTCCTGTGTGGTGGGGTCTTTAGTAGCACCCTTGGCCTCTACCCACTAGATCCAAGTTACGACAATTGAAATGTCAAAATACTTTGAAGGGCAAAATCACCCACTTGAGAACTGCCTGTCTCAGCATGTTCCAGCTTCTTTTTTTTTTTTTTTTATTGAGACAGAGTCTCTGTCCCCTAGGTAAAGTGGTGTGACATCATCATAGCTCACAGTAATCTCCATCTCAGTCTCCTGGGCTAAAGAGATCCTCTTGTCTTAGCTTCCCAAGTAGCTGGACTACAGGTGCCCACCATAACACAAGGCTAGTTTTTTCCATTTTTAGTAGAGAGAGAGTCTCACTGTTGTTCAGGTTGTTGTTAAACTCCTGAGTTCAGGCTCGGCGCCTGTGGCTCAAGCGGCTAAGGCGCCAGCCACATACACCTAAGGTGGCG